AGTGCCCATGCCATAAGAGATAAGACAGACAAGTGGGACCTCATCAAACTGAAAAGCTTCTGCAAAGCAAAATAAACCATCAAGAGAGTGGGGAGACAGCCCACCGACTGGAAAAGATATATTTGCCAATGGTATATCTGACAAAGGCCTAACATCTAGGATCTATAAGTAACTCAAACGTGCTGAAAACCAAAAAACAAATAGCCCCATTACAAAGTGGGCAAAAGATGTAAATAGACACTTCTCAAAAAAAGACATATAAGCAGCCAACAGATACATGAAAAAATGCTCAACCTCACTAGTCATCGAAGAAATGCAAATTAAAACTACACTGAGATACCACCTAACTCCAGTAAGGATGGCCATCATTAATAACTCAAAAAGCAACAGATGGTGAAGAGGATGTGGTGAAAAGGGAACACTACTACGCTGTTGGTGGAAGTGTAAACTAGTACAACCTCTGTGGAAAACAGTGTGGCGATTCCTAAAAGATCTAAAAATCAACCTCCCATACGAGCCAGCAATCTCCCTTCTGGGAATACACCCAGAGGAACTCAAATCATTCTATGAAAAAGATACTTGTGCACACATGATTATTGCAGCACTATTCACAATAGTAAAAACATGGAACCAACCAATAGCAAAAACATGGCTGCCCATTGGAAGTAGACTGAATAAAGAAAATATGGTACACATACATCATGGAATATTACACAGCCATAAAGAAGAACAAAATTATGAACTTTACAGCAACTTGGATGGATTTAGAGTTTGTAATACTCACTGATATATAACAGAAACAAAAAACCGTGTACCATAGATTCTCACTCATAAGCAGACCCTGAACAATTATCATAATACTACAAGAAAGGGATTGACAGTAGTGGGAAACTGCCAGGGGAGGGAGGGGGAGCACACTTCATCAGTAAGGGTACTTGATCTCAAACCAGGTAAAATGGGGACTAAAATGAGGCCCAAACTTTACCTGTACAATGACCATTTGTATATCTAACCTAAATTGTACCCTATGTCTCTAAAAAAACAGAAAAAAAAAATCAGCCCAAGTAAGGCAAAATAAACCAATTTCTGAAGATTACTGCCCTAAATCAAAATTTGTTCGAAATTTACTCACAATAGTGATGAAAGCTATAAAATGCCTAGGAATAAATTTAGCAAGAAAGGTTAACAACTGTAATTCACTTAGTCATTCAGCAAATAATTTGAAACACCTGTTGGGTGCCTGTAGGCTACACTGGGAACAAGACAGACAGACAAAGCTTTTTTATGCTTTTTAGAGTTGAAACATCATTGGTTTGTTTTACTTGCAATGGAAAGGTCTACTTAATTTAAAAATATATACCATTCTCTACAGCGTCTCAGAGTAGGTTGGATTATTAAATCATAAACAGAAATATCTTAATGTAAATAGTCTAGATGTATTTATAAAATACAAATTGTTAGAGAATTTTCTAGCATGTGTAGCTTTCTATTTTCCTTCCAAAGCAGTACTATATTATGAACAATGAAGAAAAGGAAGAAAGTAGAAACTAAAAGCACTTCCAGTTTCTAAAACTTTCTCTTGTGCATTTTTTTTTTTTTAATTGAGTCGGAGTCTCACTCCATTGCCCAGGCTGGAGTGCAGTGGCATGCTCACGGCCACTCCAATGTCGACCTGCTGGGCTCTGGCGATCCTTCGGCCTCAGCCTTCCAAGTAGCCAGAACTATAGGCATGTGTTACCACACCCAGCTAATTTTTTGATTTATTGTAGAGATGAGGTCTCACCATGTTGCCCAGTCTGGTCTCGAACTTGCAGACTCAGGCAATCCTCTCGCCTTGGCCTCCCAAAGTGCTGGGATTACAGGCTGAGCCACCACGCCTGGCTGTGTGCATTCTTTAGTGTAGTTTTGAGGTAGACAGACCTTTCATACCAGTCTAGTTAGTGTCTTAGCCAAGTGTTTTTTTCTAAACTGTGGATGATAAACCATCAGTGGAAAATGACATAAATTTAGTAGGTGGCAACCAGAATTTTTAAAATAAAATGTAGAACAGAACAGAAAAAATCTTAAGCAGTGAATAGTGTTGGCAGTATGATTTCAAAAGCTTTTGTTTCAGTTAAACATACCTGTATGTATAAGTGTGTTTATAGTATTAGGTGATTATGTATTTCTTATTTAAGCAATACTTCCCTGTGCAATGACAGGACTGCCTATGGAATGTCCTAGTGTTCTACAGTCAGAGCACCTCTTGTGGAACGCTCCTGACATCTCGGTCATGTATTCAATGAATTGAATCAAGAAATATTCATGCGCACTTTCAAGCATGCCTGGCACAGTTCTAGGTGCTGGGGTCAGAGCACCAGGGTGCATGCTTTCTTTGTTGTTAGATGAGGAAGGAGGGTCCACCTAGACCAGGGGAAACCTCACTAGCATGTACTGCATACTGGCACAAAAGGAATGATGATGCAAAGGACTCCCTGGCTTATAGAAGTTTCCTAGTGTAGGTCGCACATCAAATTAAAACATAGAATTTGTAGACACAAGACCTCAGCATGGTTAAACCAGAACAAAAGCCAGCTGAAGGTACTCCAGAATGTATTCCTCCTGGATCTCTGTTCAGTGGGTTACAGATGTGAAATGTACAAAGCTAGCCCACTGACCATTTAAGCCACTCAACACGACAAGAAAGGTTTGACTATACTTGTCCGTTTGTTCTCATCATTTATAAAACCTCTGTCTTAGCTTTGCTAAATGACAGATATGATACTAATGTTTCATTCATATGTTTGTGTGTATGTAGGTTTTGAGGATACTAATGCAAATATATCTGATGCCAAGATGTCTGGGCAACCATACAAAGTAAAACTTCTAAAAGTTAGTAGATCCACACCTGGCACACAGAAGGTACTCAATAAATGTCAAATACATGATTGAATGAATGAAGTCTCAGGCTTGCAGTCTGAATCATCAATAAATCTCTTAAAAAAGACAGTGTTACTGCTATCAAAGTTGATGACTGATGCAAATGGAAGATGCAAAAGAAATATTACTTGAGTGTGAATTTATTTGGGTAAGATTAACCATCATTAAAACCAGCAGTAAATAACAAAGAAGGAACAAGAGTAGCTTTTTACTGGTTTGGGGAGGCTTATTCTGACACTCCATCATTTTAAACCCCAATAAACCAAAGTAAAAGAGGGAGATTGCCTACAACCCTTAGAGGAAGGACAGCCATACACTGCAGCTATGTGTGTGTCCTTCACAGACTAGCTCCAAAATAGCTATACCCACTGGGTCTGAAAGCCTTGTGAGGGAGGCTGCTTTATGAGCTTCCTAATCATGCATGTTTTGGAAACAGCTTCACTTACTTCATTCCTAGTAAATAACATGCTTCATCTGAAGTTAGCAGATTATAGGTAAAGCTTGGAAAGGGGCTATCTTAACTATATTTCCCATAAGGACTCATTCTGTGATAGTGGGGACAATCATTTTTAATGTACTGATGAGCCTAGTGTCAGCTCAGACATAATGGAGTAGTCAGACTTGCCGAAGGATCCCAATGACCTTCAAGAGATATCCCTAAATCTACACAGGATGCCCTCGGCCAGTCCCCTTTAGAGGGAGGACCTATGTCAAGAGAGACACCTTCAAGTACTTTTACTGGTGGGAAGGACTCTAGAAATTATAAGGAAGTGTCTGTAACAAGTAGAACTCTAATCAGTAAAAGAAATACACTTAAAAGAGACTTGGAAGCAAGGGAAACAGAACTGTCAATAAGTTTATAGCTTTTAGGCCCTGAAATAGAGAACAGAAAATATGTACAGAATTCCAGAGGAAAAGGAAATAAAATTATTCTACATTTCTTTACCTTATGAAATCAGGCTATAATTTTCCTGAGCCTCAGTTACTTTATTTTCCAAAATAATAAACTAACAGAACAACTTAAACATTTATGATTTCTTACCATGAATTACGCTTAAATGTTAGGGAACATTCCCTAGTCTCATACACACAGAAACAATTGCTGGAGTGGAAATTATACAGAAAGTGGTTGTGTGTTTCTTACTTGGCTTTCATCATGTCTAAACTACTTGCAGGTCCTGAAACCAGAATTTTTAGTCCTGTCCATGTATTAATTATATTAGAAATCTTGACAATAACTTGCTTTTATTGTAGGCAAAAAGTTTGTCTTCTGGAGTTCACTAACTACTCACCTTCGATCTGGAGTAATTTACTGGATTCTTTTCCTATATAACCTTATCAAGATGTCCATATACCTTTAGAAGCGGTAGGAGTGAAGAAACTAATTTCTCTTTTGGCATAAAGAAGCACACTATTCAACTCCATGACTCTAAGCCATTCCATTTTTCCAAACTTTTCTAAATTATTCAATGCATTTGACTTGCAGATATGCCATTGCATGTTTTATATAAATGTTGTGCTTTGAAACAAAGATCTATAAAGAATGCAATCAGCTCTGAAACAACTGTATGTACATGCAATGCTGTTAGAATATTGTCACTCTAAATAGCTTTGGGTGACTTCATTTAATGACACTGTCAGCCAAGATTGTGCACAGCTAAATATATATGCAAGATGAAAAATAAGCCTCTGTACCCTCAAATCTCAATACGTTTTTAGATTAATTTGAAAAGCTGGGAATATATCTTTATGTATTTTGTTTGAAAGCCTGTTTGATGTTATTGATATTTCAAGTCCAGCAAATTTCATTTCTCTATCACATTAGGCTAAAAAGAAACATACCAACAGACCAAACACATGATGGAGACATGCAGTGGAGTTGTACTTAATGCATGGACATAAATGTGCACACAGAAGAGGCCAAGCATATCACTTCATTTAATACGAGCAAAGGTCTGTACCAAGGGTCTGAAACATTGTAAACAGGCCTTAAGCAAAGGAGGAAATGTGGAGGGGAAACAAAGCTGAGAAAAATGAGCAGGAAATGGGCAAGATGACTCATCTATACTTGAACATCTGACCTGTTAGTTGGCCGTCGCCTGCAGCGGGGGCGATGCGAATGTAAGGTGTTGTAAGCTGAGTCACGATTATCGCAGCTAAGGCAAAGGAGGATTTCCAGGTCAGCATGCATGAGGGAAAAAAAAGCCAGACTGAAGCTAGGCTAGCAAGAAGAATCCCCATCAGTATATCAAATTGTCTCAACTTTGTTCCAACAACAACAAAAAGAAAAGGAAAAAAAAAAAAAGAAAAAAGAAAAAAATCATAGTAAGGTGTTGAATTTTCCAAATTCTTTTCTCTTAAACAAGCTCTAGTCAGGCAGTTGGATTCTAACTATGACACAGTTGTAAGCTTTGGCTGAGATCTTGGATCAACTGAAGACAGAAAAAAAAGTAAACCAAATCCAAAAACATTAGTTCTAAATAAAGCTGAGGACCGAATAGTGTTTTCATTTGCAATTGAGTGTGGTGTATAAAGATTCATTGTTAATTCTGATGATTCAAACTTCAGGCTTTTAAAACTAATATTCTATTGCTTAAGTCACAATATTTTATCTTCTTTCTAAAATCACCTTTGTGAAGAACATTGTCCTCTTTTATTAAAAACATTTTTATGTAATTTATCTAATAATTAAATTTCATGCAGATTTCCATTTAGGAATCTTATTTTTTCACATTAAGAGAATAAAAGGTGCATCCTAATAAAAGACTGTACTGGTCAAAAAAATAGAAATGACTAATTGCCTTTGCTATAGTTGTCAGGATTAACATGTGACCAAAGAAATGATTAAGATTCTCAAAGCAGACCAGGTTGGATTCTTGGTTTGTCTGCATGGCCCAGCAGTTGTGTTTAAGTGGTTAACATTAATGACACACAGATATTAAAAAAGTAGAAAATTAAAACATCAGTTCTAACATGATACAGCTGGAAAATGATGCAAGGAAAAAATATTGGAAAATTAAGGACAGGCTTACATGAAAGATTACTAATTTACATGGAACAGCCTGGGTACTATTAGAAATGTGGCAGCGAGTAAGGAAAATAGATCATCTACCATCTGCAGACAATTAAACCCAAAACTGCTGCTGCATAATATTTTGAAATATCTCTGTGCACCATTCAAGCAGCACTGCTTACAACTAGACAACTGAAGCAACTGAGTTAAAAATGGTATAACAGTCTTTCAAACATTATTAATAAAAATACTCTAGTTTTGTTAAGTGAGATTAACAAACTAACAGTTTGGTGAGAGAATGGAGAGCTTGCAATGCATTAATGTATTTCAAAGATAATTTTCTTGATATGACATATTATGCAATTTTGCATAATGATATAAGTTGTACACAGTCTAACATTATTTTAAGACTTGTTACAAAGTAGGTACCAATTCTAAATTTTATACACATAACATTTTTGCTTGGTCACAGCTACTGTTGTTCAACCAATACTGTGCATTACCTACAGGAAAATCTGACTTACTCTCCTTTTAAGAAAAATGATATTGTTTTTATAGAAAAACAGAGCACCTATCTAATATCCAAAAAAGTAAACAATACGAGCAAAAAAATAATGGAAAATAACTATGTTGGGCAGCCATGTACTCACAAATAAAAAGGAACTCAAACTACAATCAGAAGCTAAGACATGTAAAAAGCACATTATAAATGTCAAGAAAGATTTTTATATGATCTCTATATTCTGCTTTATAAAATGTTTATTTGTGGCTATGATTACTGTGCCAAGAGAAAACTTGATTATGCTACAGATTATGCTACAAATTACCTTAAAATGGGCCAGCAGCCCCACCACTTGCTTTGCAAATAAAGTTTTATCAGAACATGGCCATGCTCAATCGCTCATTGTCTATGGCTGTTCCTGCCAAGCAAGAGCAGAGCTGAGTAGTTGTGGGAGACACCATATGGCCCAAAAAGTCTAAAACATTTATTATTTGATTCTTACCATGAAAAGTTTTCTGATCCCTGCCTTAAAAATATCAATAAGAATGCAATATTAAAGAGAATATCACTAGAATTGGTAAATAAAGTCAGAAATTCCAATCTTACACTTTGAAGAGAACATCTGGCGCTGATAAATTTAGGGTCCCTGTTAAGTGAGGAGGAATGCATGGAAGAGTAAATAATGCATCAAGTGGATCATTTCAGTTGCACATAGTGGGATCTTCTGAACTTGTTGAATCAGCATTTACCAAACTGCATTTTGTATGACTCTAGTTCCTTGAAAAATGACTCTGGGTCAAATACATTTGGGAAGTATAGGGTTTTTCAGGTTTTCTTTCTTTAGGACCTTCTCAGAGGGTGTGTGTGTGGGGGGCAGGGGGACTTAATATACTCATGATGTACATTAGGAAGACAATTTCAACTCAAGAAAAAAATTTTCTTATAAAATGCTGAATGAATAATGTATATGTTCCTATTTCTAAATCCACAGCCTAAATAACAGCATATTAGCGTATATGAATGGTCTTGCTATATAATTCATTTTCTTGTGTATTGAATATGAGTAATTAAAAGAAATCTTAATTAGCTTTACATTTCAACAGACATTCTTTTCATTTCTTTTATCAGTGCCCTTTCATTCTGTAGCATTATGGCCTAGAAAGGACGGTATTTCTTAGAACAAAACATTGAACAGAAAAACAGTCTGGAGAAACTTCTCAAAGAGTCTAGTGATTAAATAAAGAAACATTCAAATTTCTCAGTATAGTTAGAAATTGTATCAGAACAATGGAAATCCTTCAGTGTTTCCTCAAGGTCTTCCAGTAAAGCATATTCACATTCCAGTACAAATTTAAGTAAAGCACTAAACTTACAAACAGTGAATGAATTTTTTTCATAGAAAATTCACCTTAAAATCTAACGCTGGAATAATGGTTTGTTTTCTTTTTAAGGTTTATAGTCTGACTTTTCTAATACTTTTGGGACGAATTTAGCATGTGCTCGCATGCAGTTTTTGTTTTGATTTCTCGCTGTATTGTTATTAGTTAAGTCATAGCAAGGAGAAGAACAAATTAATATATGTGATTACCCCCATACACCCACAAATCTTTTATGAATTCAGAATATTCAAAATTTAAAAGTCGATATATTTGTGCATCTGTACTTGGAAGTTTTCAGATTACTCTATGCCTAACTTACAGTAGGCACTTATATAATTTTTAAAAATAAATGAACAACAGGAAAGCTCCCAATGGCTATACTGCTAAGGATGAACTTAAGTGGCATCATACTATGGAAACAATTATTTTATGAAAGATTAATGTAAATATAGAGTTTGAACTGACTGTGACATCAACTAGAAAAAATATACCTCATTTAAGAAATCTAACTTACTAGTAAGACTGATATTGACTTTTTAGTGTATCCTGTCAGTTTAGAATTGATCAACAAAGTCTTCCAAAGCTAGCATAAAAAGCATTTCCACCCTATTAATAACTACAAGGCAGCCGTCATGAATGTAAAAGCTAAATAAAATACATATACATAATTACTAAGACACAGTTGGACCAAATGGTTGTGAAAAGAATTCAACTATAAGAATATGATTAAAAAACAAAAATTTGGAGACTCTAAGAATAGTTAAAAGGTATTCTTTTCACTCCACTATATAGATTTAAAGGAATTCTTTGAATTGGGACAATAACATGCAATCATCATGCATACTCTATTGCATGTCTTTATCTTTTAACTCAAGAGAGGAATTCTGTATTGAGTTTGCTATACTTAATAATCAAACTCTGATTACATATACCTATGGGGAACTCATCTAGATGTATAAATTAAAGGAGGATACATAAAAATATAGGCAATCCCCCACACATATGGAGACTTGTAATAACACACCTTCAGTAGTTTCCTGTCTAATATGTATGAGGCTTTATGTTTAAGCTGATGAGTGTCAAAATATCTCTTGGAATATGATTAAAATAATCACTACATTAAATTTATAAATAGTATGAAATATATTTTTAAGAGACATACCCTTACTTGAAATTACAAGCTAGCTCTTACTGAAAACAAATCCACCTCCATACTTTCTCTTTAAAGATACTTGTCAACACTTGTTTCAGGAGAACACTGAAATCTTTGTGAATTCAAATGTTGCTTAGGAAAGTGGTTCAGTATCTGAAAACTCAATTAAGCCACCACCACACTGTGAGCAAAGTGTGGCAAAACACACCCAGGATGTTTGAACTCTTTTAAATTTTAAGCATGTTTACACTACAGCACCAATAAAGTTATTAGAACTTCCTATATCTCTGTTTTGACTAAGTAGTCAAGATGAAATGGCTTCTTGTGCTGCAAAAAGAATTTTTAGTCTGAATAAGAACAACTTTTCTAATTATAAAGGTGGTGAAACATTATACTGTGCTTAAAGGAGAGTTGCTGAATCTGTCCACGTAGAACTTAATACAATAGCACAAAAGTGCAGTTTTGCCTGGAGGGTGAATATCTCCCAAGGTTTTCTCCTGTGCTATGATTTTATGAAACAGAAATTACAATGTCATGTAGCAAATATTAAAATTTGTTTCCCTCTTTCCCCAAAAGAGGTTATTTGGATAGAGTTTGTTGCTGTGTAAATGTTTACAAATGACTCAGAAAATATGAGTGGGGAATATTTAGTCAATCAGGTCATCTGATTGCCTAATCATCCTTTGGTGAATTGAAAAACAAATTACAATACTGATGAAATCTAGCTGATGGAAGAAAATGATCCAAATCACTATCTAATTCAATCTATTGTGAAAACAGCAAACTTGTCAGGTTTCCACATTCACTAGTATGTTATTTATATAATTATTTAACTATGTAAATGAGCATGATGACAGATATTTTGGTGTGTTCACAGTAAATTGGGCAGTGACTCAATTCTAATAAAGGGGAGGTCAGATGCTCATAGTACACAGAAGTATAATTGGTCAGAGTTTCTGTTGGGTGAAAAGCCGTGAGATATAGTGAAAGAAACAATGGGGGTAGGAGTCCAAATGTGTGGAATCAAGCTTAGGTCCACAGATTATTAGTTCCAAAGATACATATTTTCTTCATCTTAAAAATAAGAATAGCAGTACCTGTCTCCTTTTACACAGTAATGGTAAAGTAATAAATGAGAATACACGTACAGAAGTGATTTTAAAACTTTCAACTGTGATGTTATACATAAGGCATTATAAATTAGGCACCCTGGAATTTACTTTCTCAGACCTTATGGGAAAGTGAAATATAACAAAGTAGTATTTTAAAATTCCTGGTCTTGAGCATGACCATAACCTGGAAATCTAAGAGCATGAATGGATATCTGGTTCAAGGGCTTTACAAATACTGTGATAATTAATAGCTGATAGCACATGACAGTTTATGAAACACATACAGCTATACTTTCATTTACTATTAATTTACTTCTATAAATAAAGGGACTTAACCAGGTACAATATGACATAAAATGAGCATTTAAAATAAGTATAGATTCTTGGAAATAGAACTATAATCCCATGAAGATAAATAAAAAATGGGGTGATCACCTCACACAATGCCTGGCACAAAACATGTAACCAAGAACTATCTGTTAGGCTAACACTGAATACAAAAATATGAGTCTTCATGATAAGAACTGAATGAGAATTTTGAAAATGCACATGTACATCATGGTATATTCAAACTATGTTGCCTGAAAACTAAATAACAACAACAAAAAGATATTTTTATCCAACAGAACTCAAGTATGACCTGATTAAATATCCTGCAATAGGCCCAATAATGTGTTTTTTCAAAACCATCATTTCTAAATTAGTTCATACAGAACTTCCTGCAATACTCGTGGTTACTCTAATGGTCTAACAATTAATTGTATTTAATATCCAGTGTTAATTTATAATGCCTCATTTTAATACAGCATTTTAAATTTCTCAAAGCATTTTCTTATACACTTCCATATGTGATAGTTAAACCAACACTGTGAGGTTGATATCACTAACACACATCTGCAGTTTTTTCTTTTGGAGGCGCTGTGTGGGGAGCCTACGGTGATTCAGCACCTTACCGACTTTTACAGCTTGCCCTTAATCACATTTCCTCAGAATTTTAACCAGGCCTGGGAAATAGAAGCTCCACAATAACATCACCTGGGTTAAGAGAGACATGCATCATCAGTAAAATCAGCCCATGCAGACTCCACTTCATAGTGCTATTATAGCTACATCATGGCTTAAAAATAGTGGGCCATATTTTACTCCTCTGCATATGAAGATCTACTAGATATAGACCTACCAAGGTGTGGAACTATAATTTAAAAATGTGCACTGAGATCATATAAAAATTAAATTTATTTAAAAAAAATTGTTCTAAAGATAGCCATTGAAAACTGTTTGGAACAGAGCAGCGTCATTTTCTATGCTAAAAAATATTTACATGAAATACAGTCAATCAAAGTTAACTGCCATAAGGTTCTAATACATACATACATGCAGGCATGCATATACATGTACACATATATACATATACATATGTGTGTGTGTATTACACACACATGCTTATTTCAATGAAGTTACATTTCAAGAAGTTTTGAAACATAGTCTAAAATCAATTTTAAGGGACATAAGCTAGGACAGCATCCGTCATTTCAACCTACCTTTTGTGGCCACTCGGACACAGTCTATTTTGGTTTCCTATGTCAAATAAAAAGATGAAAAAAATCATTATTCATGTTTTATTTAAAACAAAAATATATGTAGTTCTATTTAAGTAACACTGATAAGGAAATATCTCATTTTTACAAATATGTCTTTAATCACACAATGATACTCTTTGAACCACGCTTAGATACACTTTCTGATTCCATGCTAGTGGTGCTGGGCATTTCCTGACCAGGCGATGAGCAAGGAGCTAGACACAAAATACCTCTGCCCAGTGGCCTTGGACCTCCTTCTCCAGACCCAAATTTGCCCCCTGTGCAAACAGTACTAAAGAAGAACTTTGCATCTCAGATTTCTCCCCTTTTCACTGGCAAAAGTCAAGTGTACAATGATACCTAGACCTATGCTATGAAGGAAGGAACCCATTGTGGTATCTGGAAAACACTGCCTTTAGTCTAAGGAGACTTCACAATCTTATCAGAGCTCTGGGTTGGTTGCAACAGGAAAGAAAGAAAAAAAAGCTCAGCAATGACTCAGTTTTTATTTTATTTCCATCTCATCTTTCTAAAGCTGTTTTCTCTTAGGAAAAAAAGATACCTAATTTAGTCACAGCTATAGGAAGTATAAACTCTTGTGGAACTAAAGAAATGGGACAGACTATGCAGAAAAGACAGATGCTACCAATCTCACAAAATTTTAAATGAGCTGAATGTATGTGTTGTAGACATACTATTTTCCTGTAAAATAGTAAGCTAAGCAGAATTACTAACCAACTTTTGGTAACAAGAAAAAACTGAAAATAAAACCCATCATGATATACTCTCCCGACTAAAAAAAAAAAGATGAATATATTCATTTCTTTCCATAAATTCCTCTAGCTGAAAATAATTTTAAAAGGAGGAAAAAATTCCAACAGTTGTTTACAAGTAAAAATGCACAACAGCATGACTTCATCTTTTACTACTATTTTACTTAATCCACGTTAACATTAACAACTCCAAATAGCCTAAGTAAACAGTCATCTATAAAACTTACCCCATTGGCTCTACTAGCAGCTTGGAAATAAATTCTGTAGCTTTTATGGGGGAGAAGGGGGGTGTTCCAATATCCATTGTATGTCTTATTATCACCAATAGTAAAAGGCTGTGCAGCTTGGAGGCTGTCTGCAGGAAATTCTGCAGCAAAGTAGTACTGTGAGTTTAGTATTGAAGCATTCTGAAAGTGAATTGGCACTGGGTAGCACTTTAAGATTTCTGTTGTCTTTTTAGTTCTTCGAGGGCGTTCTTCTTCAACAACTATTTGATAGACACTGGAAAAAAAAAAGAGCATCATCAATGATATTTTATGGTAACTGCACCAGCCGATCCATTCTGCCTTTAACTGCATGGGCCCACAGGACATTCAAATAAAGAGCTCATTGAAGCTGGGCATAGTGGCTCATGCCTGTAATCCCAGCACTTTGGGAGGCAGAGACAGGAGGATTGCCTGAGTTCAGTGTTTCAAGATCAGCCTGAGAAACTTGGAGAGACCTCATCTCTAGAACAAATAGAAGAATTAGTCAGGCATGGTGGCGTGTGCCTATAATTCCAGCCACTTGGAAGGCTGCGTTGGAAGGACTGCTTGAGTCCAGCAGGTTGAGGCTGCAGTGGCCATGAGTGTGCCACTACACTCCAGCCACCAGGGTGACAGGGTAAGACTCTGACTCCAAAACCAAGCAAAACCACATTGAGTGCAGTCAATAATAAGTGCTTGATATATAACAGACCCTCACTCAACACTTGCTCAACAAAAGAGAGATAAGGTGCTTACGTTTCTTCTCAGAGCTCTCCCACCTGAAATATAACTTACTGAGAGAAACAAAAATTCTCCATAATTTATACAAATTTATATGGAAATCTTTGTTTTTTATGTGAGCAGGACCCTAAGAAAATGTTTTTCTTACATGTACTGAAGATGATTTAACAAAAAATTAACTTAGTTTACCTGATAAATAAAATTATACAAAATTATATTAACTGTAAATTTAATTAAAAAGCATGTATTATTTTTCTTCCATGACACCTGTATGAATGCATAGGTATTTCAACAAGTCACAAAACACAGTGTATAGTGATTCACATTGACTAAAGTTTATCTTCCTATAGTTTCTTATATTCCTTTGCCCTTTGTCATTTTAGTCAGTGGAAAAAGATGACAAAAGAAAAACAAAGACAAGGGACTGGAATTTTAAAAGCCAAGATCTTGGAGTTACAAGTGACTTGTAAGAGTAAATTATGAACAAGGGTCCTGGAATAACATATAAAAATAAGACAAGCATGGGCATCTTTGAAGATCCTTGAGGAGTGATCTCTAGCACCTGATCACCTTCTTCCAATGTCTTTGAATTCTAAAGTAACGCTAGGAGAATAGGAGAAACCTTAAGCTGATGAACTGTTAGAAAATAAAATATTTACAGGACCCCTACCTATCACCATACACAAAAATTAACTCTAAATGGATCAAAGACCTGAATGTAAAACCTCAAACTATAAGAATCTTAGAAAGCGCAGGAGACACCCTTATGAAAATTGGAACTGGGAACCAATTCCTATTCAGAACCCTAAAGACCAATACCTTAAGAAATAAAATAGACAAGTGGGACCTCATCAAACCAACGAGCTTCTGCAAAGCAAAAGAAACCATCAAGACAGCAGGGAGACAGCCCACAGAATGGGAAAACATATTTGCCAACTGTTTATTCGATAAAGGCCTAACATCTAGGATCTACAAGGAACTCAAACACACTGAAAGAAAAAGAACAAGCAGCCCCTTTAAAAAGTGGGCAAAAGACAAGAATAAACACTTCTCAAAAGAAGATATATGGGCAGCCAACAGACACATGAAAAAGTGCTCACTCATCATCAGAGAAATATAAATCAAAACCACATGAGATACCACCTAACCCCTGTAAGAATGGCCATCATTAATAAAACAAACAACAACAGATGTTGGCGAGGATGTGAAGAAAAAGGAACGCTTCTACACTGCTGGTGGGAATGCAGACTAGTACAACCTCTTTGGAAGACAGTGTGGTGATTTATGAAAGAACTAGAAATTGACCTTCCATATGACCCAGCAATTCCCCTATTGGGAATATACCCAGAGGAACTCAAATTATTCTACAAAAAAGATACCTGCACACATATGTTTGTTGCAGCTCTATTCACAATAACAAAAACATGGAATCAACTGTGTTGCCCACCAAAGCTGGACTGGATTAAAAAAATGTGGTACATATACACAGTGGAATATTATGCAGCCATAAAGAAGAACAACTATATGGATTGTGCAGCAACTTGGATGGATTTGGAGTCGATCATACTCAGTGATTTATCACAGAAACAAAGAACTGAGTACCATATGTTCTCATTCACAAGGTGACCTTGAACAATTATAATGCTATAAGAAAGTGATTGGCAGTAGTGGAAAACTGTCAGGGGTGTGGTAGGGGGGTTGGGACTGGCAGTTGAGGAAAACTGCTAGGGGAGGGAGGGGCATACCTCATCAACAAGGGTACCTGCATGATCAATGTTTATATACCTAACCCTGAATTGTACCCCACATCTTTATAATACATAAATAAATTTTTTTAAAAAGAAAAGATATTTACATTTGCTAGAATGATGAAGGTTTTGTTGGAAAAAAAAAAAGTTTCAAATGCTGAGAAAAACTAAGCCTTAACAATAGCTCTGAAGAACTGAATCCAGATTCCACTGAAAATCCTTCTGGCATGGAGATGTATCTTTTTCTTACTTTACCAGAAAAGCACTGCAATCCCCTGGAACTAAGAATTGCTCAGTACAGGTGCCCATTAACGCCAAGGAAAAAGCATAGAGGAGGGGTGCCTGCCATCCCCACCTACCCCAATGCCTAAAGAGATTCCTCTGTACAATTTTGTCTTTGTGAACTCCAAATCTGTACTCAGTAAAACCACGTATCTCTCGATACAATCACTTAGCACCTTCTATTATTACAACAATATGTGTGTAGCCATTCAGTTGGTAATTTTGTGTGACCATTCAGTTGGCAATTCTGTCTAAATAAAATAAATTGTTTCAGAACACTAGAGTGATTGCTCAGTAGATGGGTAGCCAGAAGGTTTACAGTGCAACAATAAAGTGAGTTTTGACCAGTGATATA